CTCTCTCTCTCACACACACACACACACACACACACACACACACACACACACACATACACACACACACACACACATGTGCATTGAAGGAAAAAATTATAAGTGTTGATTAAGGAGTGTTGTGCATCCATAATCTGGCATGTGGGAGGTTGGTATAGAATGTTAGCAAGTTCAACACCAGGCTTGTCTTTATAACAAAACTGAGAGAGAAAGATGGGGGTAGGGGGGTGGGGAGGTAGGGGGTGGGGGAGGCAGGAAGAAGGAGCTGGAGGAGGAGTGTGGAAAGGGACTGAACTGTAATTTGTATATATATTGCCCTGTGGAATACAGACATTACCCAAATGACATTAATAGTAAACAAAAGGTTTGCCTCGTACTAAATCAGTGGAAGAATAAAATTTCATAATTATGAACAGTGATTTAAAATCATTAGGATCGCTCTAACGAGACTCAATGGAATCTATTATTTAGTAGGTTTTAGCATTATTCAGTTATACCTGACTTGCGTTAGGATTAGAGAATTTTTGCTACAGTGATGTTTTCTTGAAATTAGTGGTGGAATGATGATCATTCTTTGTACAAAAACAAAAATATGATTTGGAGCTATTTTATCTGATTTTTCCAGTTATTATTTATTCTATAAAGATTTTTCTAAGCCCATACCACTGTCAAGTGATACATAACTGCATTTTCTTTGGTTCTTAAGATGGCAACAAGAACCCATAATAGAAACTTGGGTTTCAGATGTGCATGCCAAACCACCATCTACTTGCAGTAATGAAAAGTCTGAAAATCATATCCTGGGCCATTTGGCACTGAAGTCACGGACCCCGAGTCATCAAGAGACCCCTACTCCTCACTATAGACTTTATATCCTTCAGACTTTGATTGGGAAGACTAGGAATTACAAGTAGAAGAGAGACAATAACTGAGCCAAAAATATGAGGCTGACTGGCTCCAAATGCAAGTTTCCCAGCTCTCGGGACCTAAAACCCCAGGATCCTCAGCCCATCATGGGTTCTGAGCACACTAAAGTGTGGTTTCAGAATGTCTGAATATCACTTCCCAAAGCATGCCCCGCCTCTCCTTCACACATTCATCCCTTTGGTACCTGAACCTCTCTGCTCCTGAAATGCCCCCCATTACTTATCTCTCTGTTCAGGGAAAACCCCTCCTTACTTGCCTACCCAGAAAATTCCAAATTCCTCCACGATCATCACCTCTGTCATCTCCTCTTTGAAAACAGAGCAGTTTCCACCAAATTTGTGAGAATGTGTCACTGCCCATTTGTCACCTACATGTGCTTTTGATGCCAACAGGGTATTACTACCTTGCAAATGTCAAGTATTTTACAGCTACTTACTCAAGGGTGGTCTTGCCAACAGAATACTATCCATGTGAAGTGATTAAGGAGATATAAAGATGAGTGAATGCAATGAAAATGAAACTCTGTATCAGTTAAGACAAAGAGGTACACACTGAAATATGTACTGGATGCAAATAGAGTAAATTAATGAGTAGCTTGAGCACAAATACAGTCATACTACTAAAAATGTTAAGAACAATAGTGAAAGGACACCTGAGGTGGCTGGAGAGATGGCTGTCTTTGGGAACACATGCTGGTCTTGCAGAAGACCCAGGTTCAGTTCCCAGCACCTACATGGAAGCTCCCAACCATCTGTTATTCCAGTTTTTGTGACTCTCTTCTGATCTTCTCAGATACCAGACACACCTGTGGCATACATAAAATAAAAAAAGACAGAGAGAGAGAGAGAGAGAGAGAGAGAGAGAGAGAGAGAGAGAGAGAGAGAGAGAGACCCCTAGAAGGCATCTAAATGGCACAACTGGGTAATCCTTGACCTTCAGCCATAGCAAACATTAAGAATAGTTTTTAAAGAATTTATTTAAATGGATTTTAAAGAACCTGAAAAATTGACTTTGAGATGAAACTGAATTTTTAAATATCCAGAAAACTAAAGTTTCAAGCAACATGGGGTAAACAAAATGTGTTCTGAAATCCTAATCTGGCCTATAAACTGCCAACATGTAACTAGTATATTAAGGATTATTCTTTTTCTCAATATGGGCTGTTCATCTTGTGATATCTCACATTTGGATGGCTCCTGTCAGTGTATGAAAACATACAGGCAAATGAAACGTGCACAATGAGAGTGAACCAAAGGGAACAGTCCTCCTTGGCTCTCTCCTGCTTTAGAGGTAGACATGCTACCCAGCAAAGTCTGGGTAATATGTTACTTGTCTAGCAGTGAGCTACTTATTAAAGTTTTTTCTAAGATCTTCCCTAAATTCACCACTGTTATAGGCCAGAAATCATACAACTGGCCATCAAGTAATGGGAAGGAAACAGTGGTGGTTTCTCTTACCAGGAAGCCCAGAACTGGAGCTATTGAGTGAATTAATGCCACAGGTCCATTTTCCTAGGTCCAAACATGGTCAAGAACAGAGAAGCCTGTTGACAGTGTTAGGCTATAGGGAACACATAGCACCATTTAAGATGTCACGATCACCATGCAGCTCCCGAGGTAAAGACAGTAAATCACAGCAACTTCAGAATATTCTAGAAAAGCTCTGCTATTACAAGGTCTTGTTTAAACTCATGCAGTGTGCCCCCATCTTCAGAAGGCTGTGGGTGTAATAAAATGCTAAATCAGTTTGAAAGTTCCCAATCACTATGGGAACCTCAATGTCAAGATTATTTTAATTATCCTCACTGTTTTTGGAATAGACCAGTTATCACAGGTGAGTAAGTAAGGTAAATAAATGATTCTCTGTCTCCATTAAGAATAGAGACTGTGCACTCAATAGAGATCAAAGGAGCAAACACTTAATGGGCTGCTCTTTTCCCAGCAGTCCTGTGATAACATAAGGTGACATAGAAATAAAAGTTCCCCTTGTCCTTTATTGTTTGCCATACAGATCTTATCACATGGCTTTTCCCCCATAGCCAGGTGCTTTATATTAAGGGAGTTTCTGCCAGGCCAGCAAATCCACATTTCACACCTACCATATTGAAACCCTTGGTGTCCTGGTGAAACAGTTTTGAAAGCCCTAATCTGTAACATTGATTAATGGTGTCTGGTGCAAACACTACTGTACTGGGAAGGTAACATGTTACCAACATGAAGACTCTGATATAGAGCCTGGGAGATTTGTTCTCACCCTCTCAGAAGCTAGTACTAGCTGGCAACAACTCATAGTTGATTTGAACCCAGATCATGAAGGTACAAAAATGACTTCTTTGCCATATTGTCCTGTCTCCAGGAAGACTGGAATTCAGGGGCATCACTGGAGTCCCCTTAGCTTTTCCAAAAACTGAAAGGTTTTTTTTTTTTTGTTGTTGTTGTTTTCATTACTAGAAGGTTGTATCTTTTGTCTAATTTAGATTTCTATAGTCAAGTTATGAACTGAGAGAACTAAAGATATGAACATATCAAGTGTGCCACCTCAGCAGGACTGTACTTTATGCCTTTGTATTAGCAATGTTTCTTATAGAGGAAATGCGTTTTTAAAAATCTGTTGAACTGAACTAAACATAGCATTCATAAAGCACAAATGAGGTGGTTATGCAGTCCTCCTATGTCGTGTATATTAAAAGTGCCTGGCCGGGCGGTGGTGGCGCACGCCTTTAATCCCAGCACTTGGGAGGCAGAGCCAGGCGGATCTCTGTGAGTTCGAGGCCAGCCTGGGCTACCTAGTGAGTTCCAGGAAAGGTGCAAAGCTACACAGAGAAACCCTGTCTCAAAAAAAAAAAAGTGCCTCTCCTATCGATCCCAAAAAGTGCATCTCCTATCCAAACTGGACTTGAAATGCTTCGGTGTTGCACATTTTCTGCTGTTTGTATACTCTGAATACACAGCCACTTCCCATTCTCTGTATGCCCACGCCCACATTCAGTCATCTTATCTTTTCTTCAAGAACATGAATGTGACTTTAATAGTAGGCATGGCTATCCTTTGTTCATTAGTCCAAGAAGCGTATGTGGAACCCTGCCACGGGAGTGTCACTGTACTTACTAGAGGCTGTGAAAATGCAGAGGTAGACACCCGGGTTCCCTAACTCTGCCATTTTCTGTGAGCTGGTGCTAACTGCAGTTTGTCCTTGTCACCTATGCATGATGAAGTCCAGAGAAAGGCTGATCACAAGCCCTTGGTTTCTGGGCTGCTTTCTTTCTAAGCAAAGGACTTCTGGAGGTCCCCATAGATTTTTCTTTTCCTCTGTGTCATTGGCCAGATTGCTTCAAACACCTCCAGGACTTACCAGTAGAACACCTAGTGGGCACCAGGCAGGTGTGGTGGCTTTCATATCCACTCCTGTTTCCAACACCCTAAGGTCACTTGAAGACTTTAAATGATTGTGTCAATACTGAGTTTGAGTGGAGCTTACTGGCCTTTGCTTTACATTACTATTATCCCAAATAGCTCAGGTGAGATTGAATTATGCTTCCCTTTAGGAGCTAAAACTAAACATAACTCCCTAATGGAGATCATAAGCCTCCCCAACATGGACCTATCCAGGTTCTCCATGCATAGGCAGTAGAACAAACAAAATGAATTATTACTAAAATTTATTGTCATCGGGAGGGGATGGCGCACACCTTTAATCCCAGTACTTGGGAGGCAGAGCAAGGCGGATCTCTATGAGTTCAAGGCTAACATGGTCATAGCGTTTCTAAAGAAGGAGAGGTATTACATGAACCCTCTTCTGGTAAACTTTTTCCATTTCTGGGGCTCACACCTGCCTTCCTGAACTCACACCACTGATGCGTTCTTCTTCCTGTTGACCAGTTTAAGGAGATTAGCACTCTTTCCTATAGCTTCCCGCTAAGGCCAAATAGTTTAAGTAAATTTTGACATGAAAAACAATCCCAGGGAAAAAATTCACTACAGTTCTGGCATTTGTGCCAGAAAAGGCAAAAAAGGAAACTTAACATAAGTTGTGACTCCATAGTATCCAGCTAGTGTAAATAAAATAAGCCCTATGATACCCAGGATGCCCAGGCTCTTCTCAGTGACCTCAATGGCTGCCCTGTGAGAGGCTAGGGAAGCTTCCTCAAACTTCTCACTGGTCACCCTGTTACTCTTCTAGCTTTCTGTCATCCTTTTTCAGTCTCCTCAGAATTAACATCTCAGAAATTTCCATTTTATTATTTATTTAGTAAAACTCAGAGGGAAACTATCAGTAGCATTTACTCTGTGACTGTCATGATGGGAACATAAATATATACATTTGAATAAAATTCAAAAATAATTTTTGTTGTTTTTTCAAGGCAGGGTTTCTCTGTGTAGTTTTGGTGCCTGTCCTGGGTCTCGCTCTGTGGCTGTGTGCTCACAGAGAATACCGTTGTACTGACTTGCAAGTTGGGAGAGAGTAGGAACTGTGCAACGTTTTTCAAAGTTCAAATGCTTAAGAAAGTTAGTATTCTGGATTAAACTAAGGTAAACCCAGTCCCGATAAAGGAAATGATTGGCTTGACATTACTCAACTTGTCATTAAAATAGCTTGAGCATTTGTGATGCAATCATAATTTAGTCACATTATAGAGTTTCGCCATAACCTGAATCATGTTGGATCTGACCTACCTCTACAAGTTTGACATCATGTAGTTTACATCAAAGTTGTGGTTGAGCAGATCTAATGAGCTCCAACTATTGGAAATAATTGGTCGCCTTAATTCAAACCATGAACATTAATTTAATTGAAGGTTTAATTCACGTCAAACTAAAATAAGGTCACTCAGTACCTTTTAATAAACTCAAGGAAGAGTTGAGCCAGGACATTTTAGCAGACTGGCAAAATTAAGGCTGCTGGTAAACTATCCTAAGTAAACTAGCTCTCTACCTTTCTGTAGCAAGTATTGTAACTTATTTATGAAAATATGTCAGAAATGCCTGTTATCTAGAATTAATCCAAGCAGAATGCACTCTAATAGAAATGTCATAGGGGAAATTCACATTAACATAGAAAAAACAAATATGTTTTGCAGCTTAGGTTCTCTCTGGGCCTTTGTTTGAATTTTATTATTTTCTGTCTCTTTAAACCAAACAAACATAAGCAATGGACTAAATTCATGATACTCATCCATAAAGAGATAGATGGGAGGATAAATGAATAGCAAACTGGCTGCTGAGATGTACTACTTCATAGTAACAACGGCAGCAGTATAGGAGACCCCTACTACCCATAATTGGTCTATCAATAGTCTATATGTCAAGATCCATCATAGAGGACAGAAATGGAGATAAATGTAGCCTTTGTGCTTAAAAACTCCTGTAATCACAGTGATTTGAATATTGAGTGTCCCCTCCAAAACTCAGCCTGAAATCTGAATGCCATTTTAGTGGTTAGGTTGTTAGGGTTAAGACACTTTTCATGTTAATTATCACTTTCTTGACACCATATTGGCTACCAGAAAAGTGGGTTATTATAACAATAGACTGCCTCTCTTATTTTTGCTCTTCTAAATGCACCAGCTTGCAGTGGTTTTCCACTGTGAGGAACGGATCAAGGCCCCATGAACTCCAGGCTCTTAAACTTTTTGAACTCTAGAATCATGAGCCGAAATCAATGTCTTTTCTTTATCAATTATCCGGCCTCCAGTAGTTAGTGACAGCACAGAATACTAAGTAAGAAAAGACAAGACAAATGTGAACAGAGAAGAGAAGTGGTTTAGGTATTTGAATATAGGTGTTCCCTGTAACATTTTAAGTTTTTGAAGGTTTGAGCATGGCTTTCATGTATTCAAGTTTTACTTCCTCCTGTATGTTTTCAGACAAATCAGCCTTGCACAACAAGATAGACAAGGAGAGACAGCAACCTGGTGGACATAACTCAAACTAGTTCCTGTAAAAATTTAATTTTAACAATGTCTATTATTCTTTATAGGAATTTAGGTTTAATCGATTCGTAGAAGATGGCAAGAAGAAAACAACCTTTCTCAAAGACGGGAAAAAGCTGAAGTACTCCATTCTGCCATTCGGATTCGGAGCCAGCAAATGTCCAGGCCGATATTTTGCAGTTAATGAAATAAAGCTACTATTGGTTATGATTTTAACTTATTTTGATTTAGAAATAATTGACAAGAAGCCTCTAAGACTCAAGTACAACCGTTTGTTGATCGGTATTCAGCATCCCAATTCTGATGTCGCATTTAGGTACAAGGCAAAATCTTGCCAAAGCTGAAAGCAGTTTATCGGAGTGGAGCTACATGTGCTGAGCTCTGTGGTTTGTTGTAGTCCTGCAAATGCGACGACTATGCTTGTCTGTTTGAGAATGGCAAATTTATATTTGATCCAAGATCAATTCAGTTTGTTCTTGGTGACAAAACCTATCATGAAATACAGCAGGGCAGTGGCGTAAAAGAATGTCATGGCGATCATTTCAGGATAAGTTCAAAATAACAATTTCAACTTTGTACTTACTGCAGCTTTTTTTTAATCATTTGTTGTGAATGTGCTTTTCCAGTAATAAATTTGGCCCTGGATGATGTTTTATAAGTTACTGAAATCCTCTAATATGATTTTATGTTCTATATGGAAAAGTGTGCCATCGGACAGTCTAACAATTTTCAAATTCTCAGAGGAGAAGGAAATTAAATCCCACAAGTTACACTGTATGAAAATGTTCCCTTCAAATAGAGTATCAAAAATGTCCTATCACCAGGATACCTTTGCATTAAATGAGTTTTGCAATAGATTAAATGTTCCAACTTCCCTTCAATATTTAATCATTCATAAATGCTCTTTATAACTTTGTATTCTACAGCTTAATAGAACAAAATTTCTTGTTATGTAAGACCTCTCATGTTCAAGTTAGAGACTGTGAAAACACAAAGGCTATTATATATTCAACAATTGCTTTAGACATTAGTATTAGGTTTATTGTGGAGAGAAATGTTGAAGTCATTATAGCATTGACGGTAGTATTGGTCTTTAGTATAAATTGTGTTATTCTAATACTGCAACGAGCCCTTTTCTAAATGTTTCCATTTATATAAACTGGGAAATTAGATCGTATTATTTATCTACAACCTTTTGGACTTAGAGGTTAGTTGTATTATTTTGGACTAGCACATTAAACTATACAAAATAATTTCATATGACACAATACAGCCTGTATCAATGATTAAAACATTTCTACTATCAAATTTCCCAGTGATTGACATTTGGCATAAATGGAGATACAAAATGCAAACTCACAAGGCAAATAATTAAGCCAGATTAATTCATGCTGCATTAATTAGAAATTCTAATGCTTTGGGAATTTTCTATTGGTTTTACAAAAGAAATTGATTTAAAATATCACTCTAAAATAACCATCATACTAGGTAAATACAACATGGTAGCATTCCTTTTCTCCTTTCTAGAGCATATGCTCATTGAATGGTGCTTGCATGAAGGTCTACTGGCATGAATTCTGTTTTTTCTCGATTGAAGTTGTCTTTATTTTCAATTTCCTTCCTTTATTAAAAAAATGCCAAATGACCATTTATAACTATATAAATTCACAGAACCAAAGTGAGGTTATGGCTTATGAAAATGATGTGGAATGATTAGACCAACCCAAATGATTAAATCTACTCAGATACTTAACACCTGTTTTAAGAACATTTGAGGTATATTCTCTTAGCATCTTTTAGCATACAGTGCTCTCTTGTTAACTATATTCACAAGGCAATGTGCTAAAACCTTTCCCACATCCCCCAAGAAGACCATATTCCTCCTGGCTGAGATTTTTATATTTTTTGATCATTTCTCCTACACTTCCCCAGCCTCTATAGTCACCATTTCACTCTGTGCTTTGGTAAGTTTAATTATTTTGAATTTCATATATTCTAATTTTTTCTTGCTATGACAAGAACATTGTGGTCAACAGTAACTTGTGGAGAAAAGAATTTATCAGGGGTCACACATCCAAATCACAATCAATTACTGAGGTCAAATCAAGGCCAGAACTCAAGGCAGGAACCTGATACAGAAACCACAAAGAAATGCTGCATACTAGCTTGCTCACTGGCTCATTCTTAACTAGTTTTCTTATTAGCCAAAGTCCACCAGCCCAGGAAATGGTATAGCCTATAGGACTTGGACCCTGCCACATTAATCATTAAGAAAATCTTTCATAGACATGACCATAGGCTTCTGATGAAGGCTAATCTTCAATTGAGGTTCCCTCTGCCTAGATACTCTATATTGAACCAAGATGAAATTAAATTAAAGCAAATACATGAGGTAGAATACCTGGTATTAGTCTATCTCTGCTTAGTTCTACTTCACTCTAAATGTTCTCTAAATCTCTGTTGAATCAAATAACAGAATTTATTTTTTTAAGGCCTAGCAATATTCCATTGTGTGTATATACCACATTGTCTCTATTCCAAGGCTATCTCTAACCACCCTACCTCCTCCATACAATTTCATGACACCCTTCATTTTCTTGAAAACAAAGGACCTGTGTGATGTCCCATCCTCAGGCCCATCTGACCCTCTTCCTTCGGAGAGTCTCTCTGGTTGATTTGGAGTCACCAACTTGTCAGCTTTCAAATTTTCCATCTCATGTAATTTCTAAGTTCAGTGATTGAATGTCTCAGTTGATTATTCTTCGTTCTTCCTTTCTACCTGGTCATATTTTGTAAATCTTGTTCCTCTAATGAACCTTCACTGTCTCTTTAATTGTAGTCAGAATGGTTTATATTCCGCACCTGGTATCTCAAACCCACTCTTATTTTATGGGTCTGATTCTGTAGTCCTCCTTTCCACCAGTGCTTCTGATGGCTTAACTACTGAGCCTCTGTTCCTTGTAATTTTACTTCTGAAAAATGTTTCTGACCGGGATTCAATGTTCATTCCTCAACATATAACTTGTGTTTGGTTTTTGTCTTACTGTTTATGTTTCTGTCTAATTCAGATTACTGGGAATGCTCACCTGGAATATTTGGGAGGGGACATGGTACACTGCTAAGTAACTGTGAATTTCAGCCTTAAACGAAACACTGTGATTAAGGGTGTTTGGTTTTGTTTGGGGTGTTTGCTGCGGTTTTGTTGTGTGTTTGCTTGCTTACTTGTTTATTTGTAAGACAGGGCCTCATTATGTAGCAAAGATATACTTACAAAGGTCTGCCTGCCTCTGCCTCCTGGGTTCTCGGGTAAAACTTAAAACCCATGATCGGGACAGGCAGGTAGGACATTTGATCCCTTCTTTGTTTCAACCAGACACAGATTAAGACATGCAAATATGTCTAATCCTGCACTGTAGAGCAATGTTTCTAGTCCACCCACCAAGTATGTTGGCTCTGAAAATTACTGACTTTGTGCAGAAGTCTTGGATTTTGTACACACACATATACACATACACACATGCATGCTTATGCCATGTTGAGCCCTAGACTTTCTCTCCTACCTGCCACAAAATACAGTCTATTTCATTTGTATTAGGATATGGAGTCTGCCTTAATATCTGAATGGAGATCCTCCATATTGTAAAATTCAACAAGCAGTATGCTTTCATGATATTGCAACAGAGAAAACAGAAAGAAAATATTGCATACTAACTTTTTCTTAATGTATACTTAAAAGTGTATATATAAATTTTAAAGAAATAAAAAGAAAATGGTTGAAGAACTATTACATGAAATAATTAGAAAGAAGCGAGGAATGTACCTGCAACCTTAGCTTTCGGGAAGCTGGGGCAGTAGGAGCCTAAATTCTTAGACTAAAGTGAAACCCTGATATTTACCAAAAAAGAAAGAAAGAAAGAAAGAAAGAAAGAAAGAAAGAAAGAAAGAAAGAAAGAAAGAAAGAAAGAAAGAAAGAAAGAAGGGAGGGAGGG